AAAATAACTGAAAATTAAGAGTGAATGTGCAACATAATTAATAAACTCCAAGCCATTTCAATAAACAAATTATTCCAGGATTCACTTTTGTAACTAGATCAATGAAATGTTGTCAGTAATAAGAACTAGACAATGAAGATATCAATTTCTTATCAGTAAAATAATTAGCATACATAATGTCAGGTTACTTGACGTGTATAGTTTATTTCCGACTTACTTTACTTTAGCATTTTTGCTTATGGAGCATAAGCCCGGACCAGCATACTCCAAGCTAATCCTTCCTGGACCTTCCTTTCCACTTCCATCTAATTTTTGTTTACTCTTTTTATGTCTGTTTCCGATTCTCGGTGTAATCTGCTCTTTGGTCCTCCTCTACTCTTTTGGACTTGAGGACTTCAAATGATCGCTTGTCTTGTGACGCAGTTGGCTATTTCCATCAAGGTGCATCCTATCCTCCTTGGGCCCTTCTGGGGTTACTGCCGGTCCCAAGCCCGGATAAAGGAAGAGGATTAGGTATGGGGTTGGGGACCTCATCTGAAAAAATCATTTAAAAATTTTGAACTCTGCCTCAGGAGTTGGGAATTTTTCATTTATAACAGTTATGACGGCTCATGTTGGAAGCTGAATTTTGTCATAAGTCACGAGCTCGATCAGGTACATGGAATAGTTTATTTTAAGTCAAAATTAATACCAACTCAACATAGTATTTAATGAAATCATGAATCGATCAATGTTTAAACCATCATTAGAAACCTCAAAGCACTGGACAACCGTTTCGTCCTGATACGGAACTCATCAGCAGTGTATGATGTTGCGCAAGACCCTGAATTGATCGGGCTCAATGGCCTAGAGGTTAGACGCCCGAGCAAAAGACTGAAGGTCCTGGGTTCGAATCCTGCGAGGTGCAGGAGTCGTAAACGCGCACTGCTGATGAGCTTCATATCAAGACGAAAAGGCCATCCTTCAGTGCTTCCATGTTTCTAATGGTAGTCTAACAAGCAACTCAATCATCTTCACAACCCAGTTATAAAGTCATATTATGGTGCGAGCTACTTATAAGTAGTATATGACGTGAGTGTCAACGTAATGTCTGGCAGCAGAACATGGGGGAAGATCAAGAAAGGAAGAGTTAGAACACAATGGAATTTGTATGAAACGCATGAATAGTGACAATAGATTGATGTTTTGCAACAGGAACAGTCCAGTTCAATATGATGAACTGATATTTTGCAAATTGACGATTTACGACATGGTTTTCCGATTTTACTGAGTAACTCTGTAAGCCATCTTTATTGACAACAGTAAAATACTTATTGAATAACGAAAAAAATCGAATAGAATTTGATTACAACTGATGCAAATGTAGATTTATAAGAGTCAGTTGAAGAAAGACTTCCTCACTAACATCTTGAATAATTGCATCATAATTCGTCAACAACAGGTTGAACACTAGGAAGATGATGTTATTGGGCATTAGTTCTTTGTTTACTTACCTGTCAGTCTGCCACTCACTCTGTCCATCAGTTCATTCATCTAGTTCTCTTTACACAATTCATCAAATGACTTGAAATTATTCTCACAAATCATGTTCATAATTAAAATGACGATTTACTTCCGATTCATTGTCATATGACCGATAAGACTTACTACACTATGAAGTATCCTATTATCAAATTAGTTTTTTTATAATCGTGTGAAATTCAGGTAGATGATCACATTTAAATTAAATACAAGTGTTTTCTTTATCACTTTTTCTCAAAAAAAAATAAAAACCATACTAAATTGCAGCAGAAATATGAGTTAGGATTGTTTTCGTTACCATTATTACCATTCTTTTTTAACATAAGTTGAATAACTATTGAAAAATCTAGAAGATTTCACATTAGCTAGTTCTTCATAGTTTCAAAAGTTTAGTGCTTGATGAAAAAAAAAACAAGATAGATAGATACCTTTAAACAAATAAATTAGAATTAACTTCTCTCTTACACATTTGAAATCATCAATCAATCATTGTTAGAGCACGATTAGAAACCTAGAAGCACTGAAAGACGGCCGTTTCGTCCTGGTATGGGACTACTCATCAGCATTGAGCATCCACGACTCCTGCAGCTCGCAGGATTCCAACCCAGGACCTTCGGTATTGTAGGCCAACGCCCAACCATCGGACCACTGAGCCGGTATCTAACGGTGTTAATGTCTAACTTCCATCAATTCACGGAGTTGCGCAACCCCATACACAGTCTTCGGTAGTTACTGCTGTCTACACCCGAACAGGTTGAACTTCACTGGTCTATTCAGTGTCAGGAAAATTTATACTTTCTGTGAAATTTTAGTTTATTTCTTAATCCCTCTTAATTCTACGAAATAAGAATGATAAAAATACAAACATATTGATGAACAACTTCAACAATTATTCTTAGAAACTTTTGTTCTCAGTGTAGTTCAAACCTGTTAAGGGTTAGACACAAGGCTTAACTACTGAAACAAATGATGAAAATCAAACATATCACCAATTGATTTAAGTAAGAACAGTAAATTATTTAATCCTTGCTGACCTCACGCCCAAACCTCCTCCTCTATTCGAGCTCGGAGCCGGTAGTAGCCCCAGAGGGGGCTCCATGCAGAGTTTTTATCATACTGTAGTGAAGGAGAACACAGGTGAGGGCAGCCGAATTATATTTACCGCAAATTACAGAGTTACTCAGTAAAATAGGAAAACCATATTGTAAATCGTTAATTTGCAAAACATCAATCCATCATATCGAACTGGATTGTTCCTGTTGCAAACAACATCAATCCATTGTCACTCTTCATGCGTTTCATACAAATTCCATTGTTTTCTAACTCTTCCTTTCTTGATCTTCCCCCATCTACTTCCAGACATTACGTTTTTTACTCGCGTCATATCCTACTTATAAGTAGCGCGCACCACAATACAAGCTATGTGATGCAATTAAGTAATCTAAATAAACTGGTATACTATTTAAAAGAAAAAAGCCTCATTGTATTTCTCTACTTCTATTTTGTAAACAATGTTTACATTGTGCAATGAATGAACATTTTATATTCTTAATTTAATTGTCATAAAACTGAAATAATGGATATTACTGAACTAGTCTTCTTTTTAATTATTTACAATCTAAATACAAATAAATTCAACTGTAAAATCATAACAATAATAATTATAATCGTAATATTCCTTATCTAAGAAAGGGTGTGTTAATTTCCGTAATCCGTGCGTGACTTTTGTTTCGTACAATCTCTTTCGTGTGAACAATGATTAATTATTACTTACTTACTTACTTACGCCTGTTGCACCCCAATCGAGCATAGGCCGACTACCAGCAGCATTCTCCACCCAACTCTGTCCTGGGCTTCCCTCTCCAGTTCTGTCCAATGTTTGTTCATTCCTCTCATATCTTTCTCTATTTCTCGACGTAATGTGTTCCTTGGCCTTCCTCTTTTCCTTTTGCCTTGAGGGTTCTATGTAAGGGCTTGTCTCGTGACGCAGTTAGGTGCTTTTCGTAGAGTGTGTCCTATCCACTTCCACCGCTTCTTCCTGATTTCCAACTCCACTGGAATCTAGTTTGTTCTCTCCCACAGTAGGTTATTGCTTATGGTGTCTGGCCAAGGAATCCGAAGTATTTTGCGTAGACAACTATTAATGAATACTTGTATCTTCTGTTGAAGACTTTGCCTGGTATTGAAAGAAGAGTGATGTCTCTGTAGTTCTCACATTTGCTGAGATCGCCTTTCTTTGGTATTTTGATCAGGTATCCTTCTTTCCAATCTGATGGTACTTGTTCCTCATCCCAAATCTTCTTGAAGAGGATGTAAAATATTTTCGCAGTTGCTTCTACATCTGATTTCATTGCCTCTGCTGGAATGTTGTCTGGTCCTGCTGCTTTGCCGCTCTCTGTCACCGTTTTCGTTCCTTTCTCCCAGTCCATGTCGTCCCATAATGTCTTCATATCCAGTGTTGTCCATGCCAACCTTGACATTTAGGTCTTACATTAGAATCGTCAAATCCTTTGGTGAGCATCTGTCGACGATTGACTGCAGCCTCTCGTAGAATTGATCTTTAACGTCGTCATTGTAGTCATTGGTAGGTGCATAGCATTTGATGACGTTCATTGTAATCTCCTCTTTCTTTGTTTTGAAGGATGCTTTGATGATCCTTGGTCCATGAGATTCCCATCCTATTAGTGCCTTTTGTGCATGTTTAGACAGCATCAGTGCAACTCCTTGTGTATATGAAGCATTTTCCTCTTCATGACCAGAGTATAACAGCAGTTCCCCTGAAGCTAGTCTCAGTTGTCCTACCTGTGTCCAATGCGTTTCACTGATGCCGAGCACCTCGAGATTGTATCTTTTCATTTCTGCCGCAACTTGAAATAGTCTTCCAGTCTCCCACAATGTACGAATGTCCCATGTACCTAAAAGAATGGTTGCTCTGGTTGTCAGAAGAGGCATCGGCCCCGTGACTTCCAAGGAAACTCGGCATTCATCACGTGTTTTCATAATTCTTCTTCCAACTCCCAGGGCAGAGTTAAAATGGTTTGAATTAGTTTTTCTGGTTAGCGTCTTGTTGGCAAGTTAGATTTCGACGGAATGTGGTCGCCAACCCCATGTCCAACCCTCCTCATTTATTCGGGCTTGGGACCGGCAGTAGCCCCTAAAGTTCTACTGGCGGAGTTAAAAAGAAAACAGTAGAAACATAAATGGGTGTATACATTAACCAATATGTTATAAATGAATAGACTCTTTTTTTTTTAATAACTAAATCCAAATTACATGTATGATGAATAATCAAACCATTTATTATCGAATGAACACTCCATATTTATGGATATTTCACTTGTCAATCAATAATAAAACTTAACCAACCAACCAACCAATCAAATGTATACGCCCAATATGAACCAATCATAGGTTAGACAAAAATTTACCATACTATATATTTAAATGTTAAAATCTTAATGACCAGTCTTTAGTGAAATATCTTACTCTTATTGTCCATCATTTCATTTCATGTAAGTTATATATTTTTTTTTAAAAACTAATTGCATGTATATTTGAATACTCACAGATATATATCTGGTGAGCATCTAATGAAAAGTTGAGTTTTTCCTATCGATTGCATTCAATAGTCAACAATGAAAGTGCATACATAAAGTAAATCATTTATATGTAACACATTCGAAACTCTTTATTCTATTAACTCCCAGTTACGTTTATCGGTTTGTCTTGATCTCGCACTGGCTTTATTTCTGCCTACTGTCTATATTTATTCCTCCTTTACTGCATGTGCTGACTGAGTCAGTCGGCCCACCTTTCATCTTGTTCTTTCTTGTTCTTCCAGATAATCTCACATCCTGCTTTTCACAGCCCTCACCTAGATCAGCACATAAGGTACTTCCTAGCTAGATGCAAACCAACCAAAAGTTGAAGTTAGCGTCTTATGAAATAATTTAATTTAGTTTGAAATAACATAAGCTAGAGAATGATTGAAAATTTGAATACAACGACGATAAATGAAATCAAATCAAAGTTTCAACTTTAGATATAGACACTAGTAATAGATAACAGTAAGAAATCGTTTCATCCAATTTAGATGGTATTAAGTTTGTGAATCTGTTCAGGAGTTGTATGGTTTTGTCATTGAACTGAATCTTGACTTTTAGTGATTGATTTAACCGACGGTTGATAATTGTAAGAAAATTAGCCCAACACATATAAGTGAACAATATTACTGTTTTCGATTAGATCATCATCAGGCTTTCTACTCCAATAATATACATGAATATTTATATGAAAATGTTAAAACCAATCAAGGTAATTTGAGTGATAATCACAATGAAATGAAATAGAGATTACGTCACTACACATAATAATAGGCAAAAGTACAAGTGGATAGTAGGAAGACAGGTGTACTGATGATAGTAGTAAGAAAATTATAAAATATGATAACTAAAGTTTTATCAGTAGTAGGTCAAAGGTGGATGAATAGACTTCAAATAAACATTTAAAACATCAAAACCATTACGTAATAAGCAAATATGTAAAAATAAAAATAAGGTAAGATAAAAAATATATAATGTCAATCGTTAGTTACGTCATATTCGGCCACGGAAGAGATAGGGGTGTCACGAATTTCTTCTGAACACATAGCTTCTGCTATATGAAGGAGACGGGATCGAACTCCGTTGGGAAATGAGTGAAGTATACCATAGATCACTCGAAAAGATCTAGACTTATCTACAATATGACCACTATCAACCAGGTGTGCTAAGATAGAACTGCGTATTATTTTTGACTGACCCTTCTTAAACCATACTGGGAGATGTTCACTCATTCGTTGGGTAAGTTGCCCGGTAGTACGTCCGATATAGCTATCTCCATAGGAGCAGCTGAATAGAGGAGGCCAACTCAGGTAACTTATCCTTCGTTTGGGTAAACATCACTGGTCTACTTGAGAAGGTCAACGCAAAGTTTGGCTGTATTGAATGTTCTATTATGAAAGGAGAAATATATGTTTGATTTGTATATTAAACATAAATTAGAAACATTGAAGTTATTTATTTCACATGTTCTAATGAATTCCATGAATATGATCGTATCACAAGTATTGTACACTTGAATCTATTATATCCAATATGGCGTCCTAAAACCATGGAACTTTAACTACAAAATCAAATTTGACTTGAAAATCACACTTCAAACAAAAATTCAAATGGTGTACAATGAAAGTTAGCCTATAAATATAACATTATATAACTAAAACATAATTGTCATCATTTTAAATCATCAGTCAATTGTGTACAACATCAAAAATATTCATCATTTTTTTCTTTTACAGTAGTAGTAAATTTATTATTCAAAATGGCAAGAGTTGGTAATGGTCTACAAATCCCTTTATCATGGATACCAGTTCATGATGGTAAATTGCCAAAGAATGCCGTGAAAGCAGATGAGTCTATTTATGTGGCACGTTGTCATATAGATGGTGATTTAATTTGTGGCAAATATTTGGAAAAATATGAAAAAGCATATTTTCCAGTAGATGAAAAAGAATTAGAATTTGTAGAATATGAAATATTATGTAATTCTGGTATTCCTGGTTGTCGTGAAGGGTAAGTTGGGGACTTGTTTGATTGTTTTATTTTTGTTCAATGTTCAATGTTCAGTAGATTGTATGTTCAAAATCAATGGTTGATATTTCAATTATATAACATAACAATTGTATTCATGAGTGTTGAACTACTTGAACTATAATGATGATGATGATAAGAACATGAGTTATTAATGCTGTAGGGAACGAGAACACAGGTGGGGCAACTGGATTGTATCTAACAAAAATTACATAGTTGCTCAGTAAAATCGGAAAACCATATCGTAAATCGTTAATTTGCAAATTATCAGTTCATCATATCGAACTGGACTGTTCCTGTTGCAAAACATCAATCCATTGTCACTATTCATGTGTTTCATACAAATTCCATTGTTTTCTAACTCTTCTTTTCTTGATCTTCCCCCATCTTCTGCTGCCAGACATTACGTTGACACTCACGTCATATACTACTTATAAGTAGCTCGCACCACAAAGCTACTGATGATAACACGACCGAAACTGTTTCAAATGTATTATTCTTGCTGTGGTCAATATTCAATCTTTTAATGAGTTTTTTGTTTTTCTAACTCAATTAAACATATCTTAATGTAATTGTAAAAGTTTATCTTCCAAAAATTAATATATCTGGCTTCTTATATAACATTAAGGTTAGCGTTTCAGTTTTGGTGTTGAGAAGTTGCGAATTAGAAAAAGGGAACAAGTCTTAACCCGAGGATTCATCGTTTCTCTTAACTTTATTAAACTACAGATCAGTAGAATAAAACTAGTACTGGTACGCCATTACTGCATAATCAGTACTGTGTATATGTGTGTGTGTGGGGTAGGATCCTGTTTTTTTCTAGTAATAAGACTAAGGCAAACACAGAATTTTACCACAAAAAAGGAAGTGATCCGCAACTCCTCCAATTTTCTGTCTACTTCAGACTCGTCAGCTGGATGCACTCACGATAAATCATCTTACTTAACTGATCTTCAAACCAAATAAATAATTTATTGATATTCTTGGAGTGATAAATGATCCTAAACTCAGGAAAGTCGGATTTGACATGTAATATTTTGTGATCGGGAAAAAAACACACATCTGAGAATAAACTCCTTCATTCTGATAAGTTTGCTGGATAGTAATAGAAAAAACTGATGTCATTCAAGGGAACAATAATAACAGTAATAAGAATGTAGGATCCAAACTGAGGTTTGGATTGAGGAATAACTAACTGTCTAGGTAGTTTAGATACGCGCTACTGCCCGGTTTAAATAGAAAACAAGTCATTTGGATAAATAACGGTTCTAACATTCATCATAAATATAAATATACACATCATTAGCTAAATGAATATTACCACTCAGTTATTCCACCAACAATTGTTCAATTAATCAAATCAACAGCAACAAATAAATGTTATTCTATGCCTCCGGGATAGATCAGATTCGTTCAAAAGTTAATATTTGGTTGGTTTATAACTCAGAGTGTTTCCTATTCTGAAAGAGTGTTTCAATGCACAATCAAAATGCATTATTCCAGTCACTAGCAAGCAATCCAATCAAAAAAAGAACAAATCAAGATGGCTGTCACCATAATTAAGTATCAGCTTAAACAACACAAATGCATTTCAGAAAGAAACGTAGAAACTCAGTAAAGGCAAAAGAAATAGAAACTATAATAATAAAATACAAATATTATCACCATCTCAAAATGGAATTGAACAGACTACACAAAATATACAACTGAACGGATCAATAAGAACAAATTACAAAATTTATATATATACATAGAGTGATTTTCACAAACACAGACCTTTAAAAACTTGGATCTTACAATAATACTTATTAACATGAATACTATTTTCGATTTATTTCTAACATCAATTTTTAACTAGATATGAATGGATAATGATGAATGGAGGTGATGTACCAGAAAATGCAATAGTCGCCGGAATCAACAAATACGGTACACCATTGTATGTTGTGAAAGGACGAATTGAAGGTGAAATATGTGTTGGAAAAGTAAGTTTGATGTAAATTAATTGTTTGTCTGATAAGTGTTTATACAGTGAATGATGAAGTATGTGTTGTTTTGATTATATATTCTTATAGACATTGTAAAACATAGCTGTTCCGAGATTTTTCTGAGTGATGAATTTCGACTAGTAGTGACAAGTTCCAATAGGATACGTATTGAACTTCAGTCAATTAACAATATTGTGCAACTGTCTGCTGTTGCATGAGGTTGGCAGTTATCTCACACTTAACATTGGATTGTGTTATTCAGTCAGTCAGATGCAACGTAGAACTTCGCATGTAAGTACATCAGTTCATGTTGCCATACTACATCAGCACAGAAATATAATTGTCAATTCAGATACAATAGTAGAAGAGGTAGTAAAGGTATTCGAAGTAATCGAAGAGGTTAGGAATAGAAGATATTATTCAAGAAGTATGATTCAGTAAAAAAAGTTTAGAAAGTCAAAACTAGAGGTGTTGAAGAATCCAGAAGATTAGGATTTGAGAGAACACAAAGAATAAATGCACCGGCGCCATTGCAAACGATTTGAGCCATGTCATTCAAGGTGTCTAACCATCGATTATTATCATCTCGCGGACCCCAACCAGGTAGCCTACATCTACCAACATCACTCAGTCCACTTGTCAATGACTTCATGCATTTCTGCCATGTTTTGGTTTGGCCGCCCCTAACTTTCTTCCAACCTACTCCCACACCACAGTCGGTGGTTACGCATACGCAACACATGTCCCAACCACCTCAACTAATGAAGTTTCATTACTTCATCTATTGATCTGCCATTCTTACCGAGCACCCGATTCCTAATAACAGCGTTGCTCACTCGGGTGTCCCAGGATATACGAGCAATGCTTCGAAGACACCGATAATCGAAAACCAATAACCGACGAATATCTTCTACTCTCACTGGCCATGTTTCACAGCCATAAAGTAAGACGGAGCGAACTACTCACTGCGCAGTACACTCGTCCTTTAGTCAGCAAACGGATATCTCGCCTGCGCCATAAGTGATTGTGTTATTCACTGATTATGATTTCTCACCAGAATTTACATCATAGAGTCAGTGACCAATGAGCACATGATTATGACTGATATACAGAAATCTCTAACTGTTCCAATGTTTTCTATAATGGTTTAGTTTAAATCAATTCATGAGTTAAAATGTAAAATTTGGGACTCGTCAACTAGTCGTACTAATGCTTGAGTATTGATTTTCACACGAATATACATAATGACTCTATCAAAATGTTATATTGACATCACTTGATGACTGAAACGTGAAAACGAATAGCCACTAAAATTTCTATGTTACCAAATAAGAACACTAGTAAAAGTGAAGACTAATTCATTCCGAAACACATTTTTATTGATTTGTACACTCACTTGATTAATAATTACTATTTTTGAAACCATGAATCGATGATCAGTGTTAGACCACCACCATTATAGAAACCTGGAAGCACTGCAAGACGGCCGTCAAGTCCTGGTATAGGACACATCAGCAGTTGCAGTGTGTATCCACGACTCCTGCACCCCGCAGGATTCGAACTCAGGAACTTCAGTATTGTGCGCGAACGCCTAACCATCGGACCACTGAGCCGGTATCTAACGTTGTTAATATCTAACTTGACCAATTCATGGAGTTGCGCAACCTCATTCACAGTCTTCGTAAGTAGTTACTGTCTACACCCGAACAGGTTGAACTTCACTGATCACGTCTTCCCACTAGAACTTGGAGAAGATTGCTCACGAAGCTAGTCACTAGTGAGCACAGGTAATTTGCATTACGGGGTTGTGAAGATTGTTAAGTTACACATTTATGAAACCCTGAATCGATGATCAATGTTAGACCACCACCATTATAGAAACCTGGAAGCATTGAAAGACGGCCGTTTCGTCCTGGCATGGGACAACTCATCAGTTGCAGTGCGCATCCTCGGACTCCTGCACTAAAAACAGTTGCATGTACGAAACTGTAGCGAAATCACATACTATCTATCATATTGAACTATCAATTCACATTAATTTTAATACATAAAAAATTATTGAATCTTGAATAAAACAAACAAACATCATCATATTGAATTAAAAAAACAATAGATAGGTTGAAAAAAAAATTTACCAAAAAGCCAAAAATGTAATTAATTATTTTTGCCCGTTTGTTTGTTGGTAATACTACAAAGTAATCAATCCATCCATCTACTGGACGTTTGAAAATATTGCACAAATAGAGAGAGAGTTTGATCAACAGCACCAGTGTTCAAGTTTCAATAATCAGTAAAAATCAATTTAAAAACAAAAATTGAACATTGATTGATTTCTTTTATTGATTTATTTCATTGAACTTTAGTTAATTCAAGGTGAATGCGCAGGACGTTTTTCATGGGGTGGAGATGAACATAAATGTGAACATTATGAAGTACTTGTTTTAAAATATTGAAAATTTATCATAATAATAATTTTTTTTTTGAGAAAAAAAACAAAACATATTTATTTTGATTTTTATTTAATTAATTAATTAATAATAAAGTCATATTCACAAAGAAATGTAATTAATGTAACTATTAATAATGATTACAACAATAATAATAATAATAATAGTAATAAATAATTATCGACTGAAGACGAATTTCATTTTTTTTTTGTAAAACTAATTCACATGTTCAAGATGATCATCTCCTATAGCTGATTATTTAGTTTAATAATTTTTAGAAGAAATATATCATTCGATTGTAATGTTGGTTTTATTCAGTAGAATAATTGTTAATCGGTCAGTCAGTCAGTTAGTTACATCTGAGAACTTTGTACGTATGTACTACATCAGTTCAAGTTACCATACCACATTATCACACACAGAGACGCAGCTGTCAGTTCAAATCCCACTCAATAACACACTACATTCACAACAACTCTACACACCTCAAACACAACAATCCAACAACTGAATTACCACCCCACAACACACAAACCAAACATCCACCGAATTCTCCACACACACACACACACCCAATAACACCTCATTCTCTAAACGCAAACCGCACTCCAAAATCACCAAACCATTATTCTGTCGCCATCATCCATCACTCATCATACACACGCGCATACAACCAGTGGCAACATCAATCAGACAGTCAGTCAGTCACTCAGCTACGACCTACAACTGTGTACCTAAGTTCATCTGCTCAGGTCGCCATACCGCATTACCACACAGACGCAACTGTCAATTCAAATCCCATAGTGGTAGAGATAGTAGAAGCATTAGCGGTAATGCAGAAGATTAGTGTTCGAAGATATTATTCAACAAGTATATTTCAGTGAGATAATTTTACAAAGAGAAACATACAGACGATCAGGAATTCAGAAGCTTAGAATTTGAGAGAACACAAAGAGTGGATGCATCTGCGCCATCTCAAATGATTTTGAGTCAGTTCATTCAAGATCTCTCTAACCATTGATTACTAGCAGGTAGTCGACACCTATCAACATGACTCAGTTCATTTGTCACTGACTTCATGGATTTCCGATATGTTTTGGTCTGGCCGCATCTAGCTTTCTTCCACGATGTGAGCAGCAGGGAAGTAACATCCACCCTCATATCCATAAAAACACACGAGATCGAATTGGTCACAATCAAATGCTTTCTACACCTCCTAATAACTCTCTTATCTCCTCGACTTCCTGTGTAAGTATGTAATATAAACGAATCATTTGACTGTACTATATACTCCTTTTATTAGCTGATCACAATAGGGTTACTGATATGATGTCTAAACTTTACCATATATTATTTGAGCTAACTCTGTGTATTATTATTTAATAATAATGTTTCTTTTATGAAGTAGAATATGTTATGCCTGCACGTAAACACATCAACTTGATATACTTGAACTATTACGAGTTTACCTAGTCGGAAAACGAGAGCGAGGATCGAGGATCCGGCGACACGACATGCTACTCAAATCCGATTATCTCAACCCCCATAATGAGAAAAAAAATAAGAAGACAAGACTTGATATGAAGTAGAACCTGTATTCTACAAGCATCCAGAAAGCACGAGGTCCGAATCCAGAAGAGAATCAGGATCTCGGACTAGGGATTCGGGAACGGGTCCTGGTCCTGGTCGTGGTCATGAAACGATACACATAATGCGTATTTATACACTTTAGTCGAATAGGAAACAGCATCGAATTATGTGATACTGACAGTTAAGTAGACCAATAGGAAGCAACATTTGGAGTGACAGTGATAGTCAGGACAACCAATAAGTGATAGGACCTACAAAATTGATATATTTCGTTTCATGGACTTCAGCACTTCCCGAAAAAGCCAATTAAAAGTAACATCAGCGGGATAAAATTGAGATGGACGATATTTAACTTATCTTATTTATTGATATGGAATAGATGAAGTGTAGCTGGAAGCGAAATCAAGGGAGTGCGTTTCCTCCTCTTCTTCAGGACTTGTCGACTAGCTATACCTGTATCGAATCCTGGAGTGAATATCAACTCTGTGATGCAGATATATTCGACTAATGAATCCTAAATAGCAGGAAATGTGCGTCTCTGATTTTTCCGCCAAACATATTCCATCTAATCTATATCAACTTTTGTCTTAATGGCTTCTTTGAGGTAATCAGCACTGAATATCCATATATCAATCAAAACAAATCAAATTTCAATTAAAAATATCAATAACAGGATATTTTGTGGCAGAGTTTTGGAGGTTTCGTGTTTTTACACATTTGAAATCATCAATTAATCATTGTTAGACCACCACCATTAGAAACCTGGAAGCACTGGACGGCCGTTTCGTCCTGGGTATGGGACTCATCAGCAGTGCGCATCCACGAATCCTGCGAGGAACAGGAGTCCAGAGGTTAGGCATTCGCCTACAATGCCGAAGGTCCCGGATTCTAATCCTGCGAGGAGCAGGAGTCGTGGATGCGGATTGCCGCTGATGAGTCCCATACCAGGACAAAACGGCCGTCCAGTGCTTCCAGGTTTCTAATGGTGGTCTAACAATGATTGATTGATGATTTCAAATGTGTAATAACAGGATAGTCTATAAACTATTTGAAGTTAAATTCTAAAATGATTTTGGTGTAATAATTTAATAATATATAATTTGACGAAATCACTTTGTTATGAAGTAGGTAAGTTTTATTTGAAAGTGAAGTTTGTAGAGTAAGTAGTTTGTCTACATTTGAATTTTCGAAATTTTAAACGTTTTCTTCACATACAATCATCGGTACAAAGGGGCACCTACAAATTTATACGCCACACAAATTACTGAGTTTTCAAGTCGATTCAGATAAAGCCTATAGGTCCGAATCGAAGCAGGTGGGGTGATCTTAGGTAACCAAACCCTAAGCCTATAACTCAACAGTTTAGTCCACAAGGCAGTGAAGTAATGTAAAGGCTTATACGCTATTCTCCTAGTCAGGATTCTGGAGCCCATGTGTAACTATCAGTTTGGAATCAGAGTTTAATGATTCTTCTAAGTCGGGCCTCCATATCCACCAACCTGATCAAAGCGCCAGACACTTGCTATTCGTCTTGTCGACTTCATTAACAAAACTTCTGCCCCAAGGAGACAATGAGTAAGACTTCCCCTGCACTGGTTATATATGCATGGCCATGTAAGAGTATTTCGAACAAGGGAGCAGACTCTACCCACTCTTGACTGTACTAGTAGTGCATCTGTGAGCAAGTGATGAATTCAAAAAATATACTGAGTGGAATTATTTTTCTTTCTTTCATGTAATAACCCATTTTTCAGAGGCTACAAATCGACAGTTACATTATAGTCTAAAATACTACTGATGAATAAGAGACTATATTATGTTAATGCGTAAGTCTAACTTTAGTTCTAAATTAACAATATCTATAAAAAAATAATTAGACAACAGTTTATTCATTGAAGAAAAAGTATCTATCTTATCAAACATTTAAGGAGGTATACTTAAACTTTGTTTCTCACACAACTTGCACTTCAAGTAAGTCGATGAACAAAGTGCAATATATAAATAAAAATAAAATAAGAAAGAATGTCGTAAGAATCAATCCACGTTACGATTAGTGTAGTACTGGATTTTCTAAACAAAAAAGGCTCTGTATGTGTTGGAGACGTTAGATCCCCCGGAACTTGCTTGATGGGCTGATAAGTTGACCTAGAGATTTCATTTCCCACCAGGAAAATCCTTGCCTGTGATTGGCTGCTGTGTATCATCCAAAGAAATTCTTTAAACGTTATGCTCAATCAGCTGCTTTACCATTATAAAACGTTTGATAGATTAATGTTTCTAAATTCATTTCAATAACTGTAGGGTTCGTCACTAGGTACGCTTGAAGCTATTACGAGTTCACCTTAGTCGATGAAAGCGAATGAGACAATTACGAGTGTCCAGACCTTGAATCCCAAGCTGAAGATAGAAGACTTTGTAAACGTAGAAAGTATATTCTACAAACACGCAGCAAACACAATGTAATCAAGCACACACAAATCTCGTTTATTTATACATCAGAGAAACGTCCTTGTGACAGTTACAAAAATAGCACACTAAAATACACAACAGCCAATCACAGCCATGGATATTGCTGGTGTGAAATGAAATCTCCATGTCAACTGATCAGATCATGCTGGCAAACGTGAAATCCACAATAAGGCATTTAACAAGCGAGTTTTGGGGATCTAACTTCCTCAACAATAACTTAGTAGGCCAGTAACTGATTAGGATGTGTGGCAGCATAGATTCGATAAGAAAAGAAATTAGTAGTCATTATGATTTTGAGCAATTTATTTGAAAAAGTATATTTGCTTTCATCATTTGATGGTGTCTGGCTAGCAAACTTGAAGTATCATGCGTAGAAAACACTTGCTTCTTGCAGATAATGGCTTTCATGGCTATGTGAATTTCCACTTCATATAGTAGTAGAACTGTCTTGACGTTTGTATTGAAAATTGTGAGTTTAGTGTTTGCTAATCGTTGTTTAATTGTAAGAATGCTGTTGTTGTTTTGTTAATCTGTGTCTTTAAATACGCATCAGATCCACTTCGTTTGTCATTAGTAATGCTGACAACGTATGTAAAGGTTTCTTCTATCTCTTTCAGTACTTATCTATCAAGTGCGATTTGAATGGTGTATATATCATGTGTCAATATATCATGTGTCAATAGACCCTACTTTTTTCCTTGTGTATACTGAAACCTACTGTTGCAGAGGCTACTTCTACACCGACAGCATTCATCTGAATTTGTTGTTGTGTGTATGATCGAAGAGCCAGATCGTTTGAGAAATTCAAATCGTCCAGACGAAGCTTAGCTGTCCACTTTCTCCTGTGCTTCGTCTAAGATGTTAACGTCTTCATAATCCAGTCAACTATGAGGAGTAAGAGAAAGAGTGAGAGTAATTCAACTTGCCTAACATCGATCTTCATTTTACACGATTCTGTCAGCTGTCCTCCATGCACTATTTTTCAGTTTAATCCATCATAAGGATTTCGTATGATGTTGACACTATTTTCTCCGGCACACCATAGTAGTATCAAAGAAGTCTTCATAATGACATGTTGCTCACGTTGTTAAACACTTTCTTGTTATCAGATAAAGTTGACATTATTTGAACGCTAATCAGAACACATAAATCGTATGATGTCCAGTTAATTACTTCAATACAATAATACTTATTTTGACTATATCTAAAGATGGTCTAACACTGATCGATTGATGATTTCAAATGTGTAAAAACACAAACCTACAAAACTCTGCCCCAAAATATCGTAACATGTGTTCACTAGTAACTAGCTTCGTGAGGAAATTCTCGGAGTTCTAGTTGAGAAGACTTGACTAATGGAGTTCAACCCTGTCGGGTGTAGGCAGTAACTACCAAAGACAAATGGGCGAGGTCGCGCAAAAGTCCGTAGATCAATCAGAGTTAGACATTAACACCGCTGGATGCCGGTCCAGTGGTCCGATGGTTAGGCGTTCGTGCATAATACCCGAAGGTCCCGGGTTCGAATACTGTGAGGTGCAGTAGTCGTAGATGCACACTGCTGATGAATCACATACCAGGACGAAACGGCCACCTAGTACTTCCAGGTTTCTAATGGTGATCTAACAATGATTGATTGATGATTTCAAATGTGTGTGTTGGGGATGTTAGATCCCCAAAACTCGATTGATAAATGCCTTATTTTGGATTTCACGTTTGCCAGCATGGTCTGATCAGTTGACCATGAGATTTCATTTCACACCAGCAAAATCCATGGCTGTGATTGGCTGATGTGTATTTTAGTGTGCTATTTTCTTAACTGTCTCAAGGACGTTTCTATGATGTATAAATAAACGAGAGTTGTATGCTTGATTGTATTGTGCTTGCTGGGTGTTTGTAGAATATACTTTCTACGCTTACAGAGTCTTCTATCTTCAGGTTGGGATTCAAGGTAGCCTATCCGGACGCTGGTTCATTGTCTCATTCGCGTTTATCGACTAAGGTGAACTCGTAATAGCCTCAAGCATACTTAGTGATGAGCGTAACAACTGGCGACGGGGTTGGGATAGTGTAAGAACACAAAACCTCCAAAACTCTGCCCAAATGTATCTAAATTGGTGTAGAAGACTATGCAACAATTTGTGTTTACTAAAAAATATTACACACAGTTAATAATTTATATTTATATTTTTAAAAAATGCGCAAAAATGATTTAATACTGAATTAAATAAGAAAAGTATTCATGATAAATAACTTTGTTGAGAACAATAATCATTATTAATTTTGAAAAGTAAGTAAATATTTAAAAATTGTTAATGAACACTTGATAAAATCATCAATTAAAAAGTTTGTTTAAATTGATCACTTGATTAAATTTAATCTAGTCAAGGTCAAGAAGAATTGTTTATTGCGCTTATTTAATTAATACAAGCACTTCATAATGATGCATTTTGCGTTCTTCACCACCATAAGGGAAATAAGCACATTCATGACTTTCATGAATCTTTGAATAAATAAAAAATAATAAATGCAAACATACAATACAAGAATATTACAGATTGACTAGAAATATAGTTAGTAAATCATTAAAAAAATCTAGTCATCAGTAAATGTATTATCTTTTCTTAGTATAGTGATCCTTAAGAATATTATGCCCAGTTATGAATGAAACTGTATAATTTATGAGTTTTTATAACTTGTCTCTCGAAATGTGGCTAACTAAGGAGAAGATATCATCACATAATGGATGTAGCCATTATATTTGAAACATATGAGATCACAACGACTAGGTAGGTCATCAGTACGACACAAAAAATGTTCTGGAGCATGACTACCTTACCCAGTTACACCTCTGTTACTCCTGATGGAGCAGTGGTCACCGATCAGCGAATTAATTTTCTGGTTAGCGTTTTCTTAGCAAGTTGGATTTTTACTTGATTGTTGTCATTAACTCCATGCCTAACCCTCCTCCTTTATTACGGGTTAGAACTCGCAGTAGAATGGCTCTAGGCGAAGTTATTATGGAGCATATCAATAGTTAAAAAATCCTGCTAAGAATGCGTTTAGGCTGTACAGATGAGTGTCAGTGTAGGGTTCATCACTAGGTACGCTTTAAGCTATTACGAGTTCACCTTAGTCGATTAATCCGAACGAGACAATTACCAGCGTCCAGAGAGGCTACCTTCAATCCCAAGCTGAAGATAAAAGGCTTTGTAAGCGTAGAAAGTATATTCTACAAATACCCAGCAATCACAATACAATCAAGCATACAACTCTCGTTTATTTATACATCATAGAAACGTCCTTGAGACAGTTACGAAAATAGCACACTAAAATACACAGCAACAAATCACAGCCATGGATTTTGCTGGTGTGAAATGAAATCTCAAGGCCAACTGATCAACCCATGCTTGCGAACGTGAAATCCAAGATAAGGCATTTATCAAGCAAATTTTGGGGATCTACCATCCCCAACAGTCAGTTTCTTTGAAATTAAAGTCTAGTATTTCTTTTTTGGTTTCTCTCAACAATTTAACATCATTCAAAGTTCATCACTGATTGATTACCTTTCAAACTTGCTTACATTTGTGAATAAACAACTGATGTAGATTTATATATTACAAAATGAATAGATTTTAACCAAACCAAAATGAACATTTTGTCTTATCTAGACTAATATATTAATTGTATCTCCTCCTGAAGCCATTCTGAGATTACTGCCAGTCCCAAGGCCAGATAAAGAAGGAGGGTTGGTCATGAGGTCAACGACTCCATCTCATAGAAAACCAACTCGCCAAAAAAACGCTAAACAGATAAACTAATTTGCTGGTGGAAGGAAGACCCATAACTCAGGTCTCATATGGTCGAAAAATGAAAATTTCAGTATTGTGAAAAAAGAATCATTATCCGACATGAGACAAAAGGGTAATAAGAGTGTTTGAGCCCGTTTGCATCAAGCTGGGCTGCATCTCTTGCTATGTGTACTATGTGTATACTATACGCTATACTATTTATTATCTACAGCTGGTTTCCTACGAGACCAGTGGTTCGTTGTGATGAACAATGTGGATGGCTTGGTATTGCTTTGGCAAGGATTGGTAACAGTCCTTAAACAAATTTGGTTATCAGGTTGACCGATTTCATTGATATTCATGGTTGTTTTGCAACTTTTTCGAGAGCCATTGTCATCGTGGTGCTGTATTGCATATCACCATTGCTAATAACAACAATTTATTTGTCAGTGATGTAAGCGGGATGAGTCGAATTGACCTGTTCATACGGTGCCTATTGATTGAAGCAATCATGGATCGGAAATCATCACCATATATGCACTAGCGTGTATATAAACGGTGTGAATGGTCGTCCACCAAGGTGTCAGGTACCTTGTATGGTGGTTGCACCACCAAGAGATTGAGCCGAACTGTTCGCATTGAAATGTTAACACGTGGGCAGTCTCTTTCATTCTCCTGAAAACCGATGTAAAATTACTCTTGCCAATAAAGAGTTAATTTATATAATTGTATAATATGATTGCTGGTGGGAGGCCTATGACCCATTTGAGGTAACAGGCGTAAGTAAGTAAGTAAGTGCATAAGTAAGTAAGTAAGTAGGTAAGTAAGTAAGTAAGTAAGTGCATAAGTAAGTAAGTGCATAAGTAAGTAAGTAAGTAAGTAAGTAAGTAAGTAAGTAAGTAAGTAAGTAAGTAAGTAAGTAAGTAAGTAAGTAAGTAAGTAAGTAAGTAAGTAAGTAAGTAAGTAAGCAAGTAAGTAAGTGAGTAAGTAAGTAAGTAAGTACTAACAATTAACTACAGTATTTTAGAATCATGTATCGTAGCCTTTTGATAAAAAAAAGAAAAATAACGCAACACTTACTTTTCCAACTACACGTTCACCATCAACATATTCACGAGCGATATAAAGTGGTTCGTTGCAAGAAGTTATGCCTCCAATCACAGCATATTTAGGAACATATCCATTACTGTGTCGTTCCCATATATAACTAGAAAATGTTTTTTTTTTATGCAAACATGAAATAGAAATTTAAATCAATATCTCGAGCATCAATTTTTGAAAATGATTAGCAAGATGCTTTGATTTGGCATTTACTTTTCAGTCTTGAATGATTACTAGTGATCTTATTTTATAAACAGTGGTTCCCTTTGATAAATTTGAAATAAGAAGACATATTTTGTGAGATAGTACCATTTCGTGCTTTCTCGTCAGTCACATACAAGCAACATGTTATTTGTGTGTAAATACAGCAGTTTTGAAGATAAGGTCAAAATTTCTTATTTAGCATGACATTCACTCACTAGAAGAACCATGGTAAACAAAGGTCAACATACAGTTGTTTTTGAACACATAAAGTTGGACTTTTCCGACCAATCAAGATAGCTTCGAGTAGTTTGAGTGTGTGTGTGAGTTTTGATTACATGTCACAACTCTAAAGGCTGATTTTGGGTCAATTTGATAACCACTCATCATTAGATGTTTTGCAATTGACGAGGCTGGGTTTCTTGATCGATTTTGAGATGATGGATCATGGATCTGATTAGCCATTTTGGAATATGTTCCCCTATCCTGTCTTCCAATCGGCGATCTGTCCTCTCTAAGTAACTTTCTCCGCAGTTACATGTGAATTGGTAAATACAGTGGGATTTGGACTTAATCGGTCTTGGAGACTTGATTGGGGTAACTGAGATCGATTGGGTTGTTGTGAAAAGCCTCAGATTAGCTGCATTGAAGGTCTTTTTTATTTCAGCTGCAGTCTGTTTAGTTGTAATTTTCATGCAATGATCACCCTTGAAAGGTAACTGTAGGTACACTGGTTTCTTGGGCACATCAGTTGCTATCAGCTTCGTCGTAGTTGTGTTCTGATGACCAATAAACGTTTCGGGATATCCGTTTGATTTAAGTGTGTCAGTAATAAGCTTGAATTCGTCGTTCAATGTATCAGCAGTGCAGATTCTGCTTGCTCGAGCGAATAAAGTTTTGACAACAGAACGTTTATATTGTATGGGACAGAAACTAGTGAAGTAAAGGTACTGTCCCGACCAGGTGGGTTTGCGGTGTACTTTTCGTCTGATTGATCCGTCTGGACGGCGATGGAGCAGGATATCAAGGAAGGCTAGTTCATTATTCTTTTCTTCCTCATAAGTGACTTTCAGATTCGGGTGAATCGCATTAAATAAATCATTAATTTCATTAATATCTGTGGTGGTCATCAAAATGACCCAAAATCAGCCTTTAGAGTTGTGACATGTCATCAAAATCCACACACACTGAAACTACTCGAAGCTATCTTGATTGGTCGGAAAAAATTCCAACTTTATGTGTTCAAAAACAACTGTATGTTGACCTTTGTTTACCATGGTTCTTCTAGTGAGTGAATGTCATGCTAAATAAGAAATTTTGACCTTATCTTCAAAACTGCTGTATTTACACACAAATAACATGTTGCTTGTATGTGACTGACGAGAAAGCACGAAATGGTACTATCTCACAAAATATGTCTTCTTATTTCTCTTTTCAAATCTTATTTTCTGACATTTTATATGATATATTTGTGTTATTCGTGACCAATTGGTTTTCTACAGCCGTCTAAGAGTTAAGAATTGTCTTTAAAATGCTACTGTTAGACCTAATAGAGTGGAAATTTCTATTTGTATATGCTAGGATGTTAGAGGTTATGAATCTGAAAGTTCTATAACTAAATATCATGTGAGTTAGAGCTCGTTTGAGGACGTAAAAATCTATACATATCTGAACAACATCATTGACGAGCAACGTGGATCTGATGCAGATGTGAAGGCGCGGATCGGAAAAGCAAGGGCTGTATTTCTACAATTGAAGAACATCTGGAACTTCAAACAGCTGTCAACAGACACTGAAATCAAAATTTTCAATACAAATGTCAAGACATTTCTACTTTATGGAGCGGAAACTTGGAGAACTACCAAAGCCATCATCCAGAAGATGAAAGTGTTGATTAATAGTTGTTTACGCTACATACTTCGGATGCGCTGGCCAGACACAATCGTTAACAGCCTGCTGTGAGAGAGAACAAATCAGATTTGATTGGAGGAAATAATCAGGAAAAGTCACTAAAAGTGGATAGGACACACGTTGAGGAATGCACCCAGCTGCATCACAAGACAAGTCCTCGCTTGGTATCCTCAGGATCAAGGGGAAGGAGGAAGGCAAAGGAACACATTACATCGAGAAATAGAGACAGATATCAGAAGAATGAAAAAATATCTGACAGAACTAGAAAGGCAAACCCAGGACAGAGTGGGTTGAAGAATGCCGGTCGGCGGCATATACTCCATTACGGTTGACAGACGTAAGCAAATAAGCAAATCTATTAAGCAAGGCTTATCTACAATCTTGATTAACTTGATACTCGCCGCCGAATTACACACCTCATTACCTAATAGTAAAATCAATCATGCCACCTTTATGGATATTTATATCAGACAAAGAATTTGTGAACGAGCGAGATATGTTTACTGAATAATTATCACTACAGTTTCAGAATGAATACTTCGAGTGAATTTGCAATGAAGTCACTAGTCTAATCTACCTGAACATATAAGGTGAAGAGGAGTAATCATCAATACAAAGTTTCAATGTCCAATCAACTAGAATTATTGTACATACCATTGTTGAGAACCATGTGATAATTTGGTATCACATAATACTTCATACGAATCAAATTCATATTCCCGTCCATTATAACAAGCATAAGCTTTGCCCAAATGTGGTACAACTTTACCAGGTAATAAATCACCTGAATGATACATACGACCAATATAAACATTATGACCTGTATCAATTGCATTCGAAGGTACTTGACCATCTCGCTGATGAATCCAAGATAGACATGCTTGTATTCCTTTACCAATTCTTGCCATCCTTGATATTCACCATCAAATAAAAAACATTTATAAGCAGAGATAAATAGTGGTTAGTAATGTGTTTCGTCTTATTTGGCACTCATCAAGCTTGATGTGCCTATGTTATTAGGAGATGATGTTCATTCACATTGAGACTCAACACATTGTAATGTTCACTTCAAATATTAAGTAGTATAAATGTTTTGTCAGAGAAAAAAAGTATTACAAATTATTATTAGACCACTATTAGATAATCAGAAGCACTGGATGGTCATTTCGTCCTGGTATGGGACTCATCAGTAGTGTGCATATATGACTCCTGTTACTCGAAGGATTCTTATCCAGGAGCTCCAGTCTTGCGCACGAATGCCTAATTGCTGGACCAATGATCAAGTTGTATTTATTCAGAGAAAAAAGGTATTACAAATTATTTTATGATTTTTCATTATTGATTTGTGGGGATTGTTAAGTTTCATTGAAATAATGAACTGATTAGTGTTAGAATACCATTAGGAACTGTGACTAGTGGGATTTCAACTTTGTCAGGTGTAGGCAGTAACTATGGAAGATAATGAGTGAGACTATGATTAGACATTAATATTATTGGATGTCGGATCATTAATCCAGAGTTTAAGTGTTGGCAAGTGAAACTACAGGTCCTGAGTTCTGTTTCCGCTAGCGGGAGTCGTGGATGATGAGTCCGCTGATGGGTCCGATACTAGGAAGAAATGGCCGTCCAGTGCTTTCAGATTTATATTCATGAATTGATATTCGTTATAAAGTTCCGCAAACCAAACTATAATATCAGTAATAAACAACAATCTCCATCATTCTATAGTGAAAATTCCCACAATATACTCAATAGTGATTAGCTATGTGAGGAAATTCTCGGATTTCTAGTGGGAATCCATAACCAACTGAGTTCAACCCTGTCGAGCGTAATTCAATTACCCACCGAATCAGAGTTAGACATCAACACCGTAAGATGCTAGGCCAGTGGTCTAGAGGTTAAGCGTTCACACGCAATACCGGAATTCCTTAGTTCGAGTACATGAACGAAATAGCATGAAACCTTCATCCTCCATCCTACTGCTTGTCAAAATCCATTAATACTAATTCACTTATGATATATAATGATTACGCCAAGGTAATTATTCACACAGGACCGCATCGTTGCTAAGACTGATAGAAATTTCATTGTCAATCAAACTCATAATAATATTGATAGTTAGTCAGTCAGTCAGTCAGTCAGTGTTACAACGTACAACTTCGTACGTAAGTACATCAGTTCAGGTTGCCAAAATACATTAGCACACAGACGCAATTGTCAATTCAAATCTCATAGTGGTAGAGATAGTAGAAGCATTAGCGGTAATAGGAAGATTCCGATTCGAAGATATTATTCAAGAAGTATAATTCAGTGAGAAAAGTTTATAAAAACAAAGGTAGAGGTGTTGACGAATTCAGAAAATTAGTATTTGAGAGAACACAAGGTGTCAATGCATCTGTGCCATTACAAACAATTTTGAGCCATGTCATTCAAGGTCCTAACTTTCTCCCAGCCTAAACCTACACCACAAAACATTGCTTATCGAGGTAGTCGGTGGTTGGGCATTCGTAACACATGTCCCAATATATATCAAACAATTTTATTCAATAAATGGGCCTTAATAGGTTTAGTCAGATAGCTAATAGTTCGTTTTAACTTTTATGATGAACTCACAGTTAGTATCCTTTTGAATGTAAGGAAACTGTTAACCTACCTAATATCATACAAAGAATTAAATAGAAAGGACAAAAATGACACAAACACTTCTCTTAACTTACTATTGTTATCTCAATTGAAAATGACGAACACTGTAAACTGTGAACTATGTAAAAATCTATGCCTTTTGTATTTATATATATATGTATAAGTCATTCACTAATTTTTGTAATCTAAAATGTACAAGGATGAAAAGAATTACTTTTTTTCGTTGTTGTTGTTGTTGAAATAACCTATGAGCTTAATTGTTTTCAGTTTTTGTAAATTATCAAATTGTACAACTCGATACTCTTCTTATTTACACACACACTCACACTCACATACATATACAAGTAAAACAAAAAAAGAAATGGATGTCTATACTTGATAGTATCAAAAATCGTGAACTTTGTTTCATGATCATTAAAAAACAAAGGTTGTAAATAAAAACAATGCAAATAGGCGACAATAACTACTAGTACTAGTACTACTACTACTACTACTACTACTACTACTACTACTACTACTACTACTACTACTACTACTACTACTACTACTACTACTACTACTACTACTACTACTACTACTACTACTACTACTACTACTACTACTACTACTACTACTACTACTACTACTATTACTACTACTACTACTACTACTACTACTACTATTACTACTACTACTACTACTGTGGTGCGAACTACTTATAAGTAGTATATAACGTGAGTGTCAACGTAAAATCTGGTAGCATAATATGGGGGGAAGATCAAGAAAGGAAGAGTTAGAACACAATGGAATTTGTATGAAACGCATGAATAGTGACAATGGATTGATGTTTTGCAACAGGAACAGTCCAGTTCTGTATGATGAACTGATATTTTGCAAATTAACGATTTACGATATGGTTTTCCTATTTTACTGAGTAACTCTGTAATTTTCGTTAGATACAATTCGGTTGCCCCACCTGTGTACTCATCAACTACATTTGGTGTCGCTGCCTACGCAAAGGATGAAGATTCCATGGCCGAAGGAGTTTGAGGACGGGGATGTGCGGAGCTTCTTGAAGGAGTTTGAGGCTGTGGCGGAGCTGGTGGGGGTGAAGGAACCGAAGGCGAAGCTGGTGGTGCTGGGAACGCTGCTGAGAGGAAGGGTGAAGGCCGTATATGACAGCCTGGACGGTGCTGGCGGGAAGACATCATGGGGGGCGGTCATCGAGCGGCTGATGACCGAGTTCGACCGCCCGGTGGACAGGGAGGAGGCGTTACGAAGGTTCCGGTTGGCGACGCTGTCGGCTGATGTTGACCCGCTGGTGCTTGCTGTGGAACTCACAAGGTTGCTGCGCCGTGCGTTGCCGAATATCGATAAGGAGTCGGAGGCACAATTGTTGGCGTCGCAATTTATTGAGAGTGTGCCTGCGACTGTGTCCCAGCAGCTGAGATTAGTAAATGCAGCCGGTCGGGTGCGAAAAGCAGGAGATAAATACTTTCGAGAAGAAGATTGTGGAGTTAGAGCGTGAGATAGCAGCATTACGAGTAAATCATAAAAGGAACGATAAATGTTACGCTTGTGGAGAGGCAGGACATTGGAAGACAAACTGTCCAAGATGAAGACGACGAAGATATTTTAAACATTATAACGTGATTTCTTTCCACCCTAGGAATCGGGAGGTTCTTGCACTAGTAGATAGAGGGGCAATTTATGCCAGAGTGTACATAAATGAACAGGAGTTAGTGTGTTTGATCGATACAGGGGCAGCTATATCGTTAATAAGCAAAGAGCAATGTAAGACAATTAAACCATGTACATTAGCTGTCCACACCATAGGAGGGCATATGCTAGAGGTGTTGGGGGTATCTAACAGTATTGTAAAAATGAGTGGAGCTGAGATAAATTTTCCGTTCGTGGTAACCACAAGCTTATCAAGACCGATATTAGGAACAGATTTCCTAAGAGAGGTAAAAGCGATAATTGACTTGAGAAGCGGGAAAATGGTCACAAAGTACGGTTCATTGCCAATACATGAAAGTAGCGAAGTGGCTGAAATAAGGATGGCAACGGACGTCTCGACCAAGAAACCAAACGAAAATTACAGAGTTACTCAGTAAAATAGGAAAACCATATCATAAATCGTTCATTTGCAAAATATCAATCCATCATATCGAACTGGACTGTTCCTGTTACAAACAACATCAATCCATTGTCACTATTCATGCGTTTCATACAAATTCCATTGTGTTCTAACTCTTCCTTTCTTGATCTTCCCCCCATATTATGCTACCAGACTTTACGTTGACACTCACGTTATATACTACTTATAAGTAGTTCGCACCACAGCATCACACTACTACTACTCATACTACTACTACTACAACTGCTACTACTACTCACACTACTACTACTACTACTACTAACTAACTAATATTAGTAGTCAAAAAATCAAAGAAAAAAAAGTATTTCCATGTACTTAACAAAATTACCACATCATTACACATCCCTTAAATATATACATCGAATAAACAAACTCATCTGTATTAAAATAACCAAAAGTTACACAATCATAAATTATTTCGATCACAAATTATTGCTTAACCAATAAGTAGTAGTAGCAGTGACAGAATTAGTGGTAGCAGTAGTAGTGTGAGTAGTAGTAGCAGTTGTAGTAGCAGTAGTAGTAGTAATAGTAGTGTGGTGCGCGCTACTTATAAGTAGTATATGAAGCGAATAAAAACGTAATGTCTGGCAGCAGAAGATGGGGGAAGATCAAGAAAGGAAAAGCGGGAACACAATGGGATTTGTGTGAAACGCGTGAACAGTGAAATGTCAGACAATCGATTGATGTTTGCAACAGGAACAGTCCAGTTCGATATGATGGATTGATATTTTGCAAATTAACGATTTACGATATGGTTTCCTATTCTACCAATTAACTCTGTAATTTGAGATAAATACAATTCGGTTGTCCTTACCTGTGTTAGTAGTAGTAATAGTAGTAGTAGTGGTAGTAGAAGTAGTAGTGGTAGTAGTATTAGTGTGAGTTGTATTAGTAACAGTGACAGAAGTAGCGGTAGTAGTAGTGTTGTGCACGAAAACCCAGGTGAGGACATCAACATCTATATTTAAGCGAATATTACAGAGTTGTCAAGCATATGTACAAAACCTTCCCGTGAAACATTCATCATTTGCAAACTAATCCTTATTTGTTTCAGATTTCAGTGTTCTTTCATTTAGACTATTCAGACTTCAGTTTACTATACGTTACGCTCGAATCGCCTTC